ACACGCACCACGCACTCGTCGCACACGGGGAGTCGCCGATCGGCCGGTCGGCGCACGCACTGTTAGGCCATGGAGCCTTTGTTCTCGCGGGTCACGTGACGCGCACGCACACTCGACGGCACCCGCTCCACCGGAGTCGACGCCTGCGATCCTGAGTCGCGCTGCGTCGATCGAAGAGGGCGCGTGGGTGGCGGCGCGGGTACGAAGTCCTCCCGTCCGTGGCTGCGTCCGCTGTGGCCGGGCGGCGCGAGCAGACTGGCTGACGACCGCGGCCACCGCTGCCTCGCTCGCGCGCCTCGCCTCCCGCCCGCCCCGCGCCTCCCTTACGTAACGCGCGCCGCTCAATAGGCGTCGTGGCGCGGCGCGGCGGGCAGTGCGGCGGGCGGCGCGGCGGTGGCGGCGGCGGGTCACGTGGGACGCAGCCCTCCGGCGCGGAGCCTCCGCCTCCGATCGCAGGTCCTCGCGCCCTGCCCTGCCCTGCCCAGGCCCGGACCCCCGTGCGGTCAACAGCCCCGGCAGCAGAGGCTGCGCTCCGCCGGCGCACGACGGCCCCAGCCAGCTGCAGCGGCCAGAGGCAAAATTAACAGTTTCGTAACTTGCATTTAAGTATTTTCTCCTTACTAAGTTTTATTCATTTACAAAATAAAAATATTGATACCAAATTCATTTTAATAACAACCATTTTAATAAAATAGGAATTCAAGTTAATAACAATCGTATCAACATTAAATGTACATCATGTTACTCATTATTTCAACAAAAAATAAGTTTTATACAACATTTATAAAATTACGAAAAATACATTTAAAAAATGTCTTGTAAACACTCGGTGTTTGTATCACAATTCAAGACTAGCCAACTTCCCTGCTAGAAAAGTACAGAAAAATACTTTCGTAGACACGTGATAAAATTGTAAGAAATTTTACATCGAGCAAAAAATTCTGTATTTTTCTTTTTCGATCGCTTTCCTCTGCCGCTGCTGTAGGCCAGCCCTGCCCGCAAGCGGCGCTCCCCCGCCCCCTCTTCACGTCCGACGCTGGGCGCGGCGAGGCGCGACCAGAGAAGCGGCGCGCGGGTGCGCCTCCCGTAGACGCGCGCCACATGCAGCAAGGCGAGACAGAACCACAATCTGGATCCCTGCCGCCTTCGAGCTTTTTCATTTGTTTGTAACATGTTACTACGAAGTTAATACCACTATACTAGGATAATTGATTCATAACTTTAAATATATAATTATTAAAAACAACTGATTTTATGTTATTTCTTTTTCGCAGATGCCAAATCGCTGGACCTGATGTAAGCACCGCGGAGACCCAAAACACAAAATGGTGTTGCCCCCTCCCCCACCCTGACCGGAAACTCCCAGATTTAATAAAAAACTCTGATTATAATGAATACTATTTCTTACAAATACAAATGAAAATAAACACGAATTTCCTCTCTTAAAAATAATGAAGTAAAAAAATATTTCATTTATAACAAAATATGTTGGAATAATGAAGTGACGCCTTAAACAAATATTTAATTTGCCGTTCGTATTTTCTACATCCTGAATTTTCTAAGGATTCAATTTTAAAAAATGGGTATTGACAACAGCTAATAAAAGACCATCTCACCACAAACCCCCTTTTAGATTATTATAATTTGTTTGTCATTTTAATAAATGTATGACCCCAATTGGAAAGTAAGCATCTTAAGAGAGTTCTCTTGCTAATCATTCTTGAGGCTTTGGGTAGACATGAGATTCGATTTCTTTGTATTTTTGTGAAGAAGCTACCGAAGAGGTAGAACTCAACTTAGAAATATTTTCCATGGAACGTTACAACTATAGAACAGCATTTATAAGGACACTGCATATCAGTTAAATTATTAAAGAGCGTCTTTCCAAAGTGATCTCCAAGAGACAGGATTTTTCAGGGAAAAAGTATTCAAACGTGGACTTACAGTTCAAGGTAGGAATCAATAGTTTTTGGATACTGTTTAACGTAGAAGAAACATCATTTCAGATCACAATATTTTGCAACATGATGGAGAAGCCCCTTAAAAGTGTATTGATCCGTAACACCAGAAAACAAACGGAAATGGAGAAATATGTGATTTTGGAATTGAGCTCATCAATTGGGCAGCGTAGAAATCGACCTCCTTTACTTGGATATAACGGAAGGAGGTCATGGCGCAAGCAGGCTGTTGATCCTCCAAAGAAAAAGCGTATCGTATTTCCGTCCATTCATGAGCTTAGGAGCTTGGGAACCGGTCCCTAGGCCCTGTCACGCACCCGCGTCCCGGAGAGGTTCGTCGCGGAACGCGTTGGTCTGCCGCCCCCGTTTCACGTCTCCCCTGGCGCTGCCTGGGCTTCGTGGCCCCCTCTGCTCCACACAGCAGACTTCTCCCGGGAAGCCAGAAGCTAGTTACTGCTAGTACAGTGGGAAAATCAACTAGCGAGTTGTTGAAAACATGCGCTACTCTCCACTGAACGTTTTATTTCCGTGGCTGCTAATTGGAGAGAGGTCACAGAGTTGCTTAGCGGTAGTACATTAACACAATACTCGCTCTGCTTGAATTGATGCAAGCAAGCTAGTTGGAGAGAGAACGACACGTTATCGACTACAGCAAGTGTATTAACACTCCAGTCGCTCTGTGTGATTCCTTCGAAGCAAGTTATTCGGAGAGAGGTGGTCAGAGATCGACTAGTATGTTAACACACCACCCGTTCTGCATTATGCCATGGAACCAAGCTGGTTCCATGAACGAGGTTACGTGATCGCCTAGCACCATTGCATTGGTTCAGTGGTCGCCCTTTGTGAAGCCATGGAAATCAACGTAAGCAAGCTAGTTGAAGGATGAGATCACGAGTTATACTAGTGTTAGTACATCAGTACATATTTCTGTGTGCCGCGCTTGGAAGCAAGCTAGTTTGAGAGAAGAGGTTACGTGTTGACTATCACTAGTGTCTTAGCACACAAGTCGGCCTGTGTGATCCCTTGCAAGCAAGCTAAATGGAGAGAAGAGGTCACGTGTTTGCAATCGCTAGTGCAATAGCACACAAGACGGCCTGTGTGGACCCTTGCTAATTGGCAAGTACTTGAGCCGGGGCCGAAGCCGTAACGGGCGCGACGACCTTGTTATGGCCCGGGGCTTCTCGCGAAGCGGCCAATTCGGAGGCGGGGCAGGCCGTCCGGAGGGAGCTGGAGCGAGGTCCGGACGGGACGAGGTCGGAGGAGGAGACGGCGGGGGCGCGTTGAGGGCGAAGACCGGAGCTGGGAAGCGGAGGGTCGAAGAGGAGCCGATGGTAGGGTTGTTGGGAAGGGGGTGGATGCAGAGACAGGGGCAGCTGGAACGGAGGTTTGAACGGGGCCAGGGTGGCAACAGGGCGGCGGTGGCGGCGATAATGGAGGCGAACGAGGGGGGGGCGGTGATGCAGCGGTGGGTTCGACGGACCGGTGGCTGGGAGGGGAGCGGGGGCGGGAGCGCGAGCGAGAGCGGGGGTGGGACGGGTCCGATGTCCTGAGCTGCCGCGAGCGGGGCCGGGGGCAGCTGCGGGTTACGCGATTGGCCTCGATGCCGCGGACGTACGTAACGCTCTCCTGCGGCCAGAGACATAACTAACGCCCTCCCGGGGGGAGGGGGTAAGAGGCCTCAAACTTTAGCTCTCCGGGGCAGCCATACTCTTACTTGTAAAATGTTATCTAAGCTTCGGTGCTATATTGGTAGGGTGCAACCGATCAACAGGAGTGTTATAATTTTTTTTTTTGGAAAATCCATTTAGTTTTACAATGTGGCTATCGATCATATCTATGTATTAAGTGCATAGTTGAATTAGGAATAAAGCGTTATTAGCCACGTGTTTTAACAGGTAGTGAATGCTTCCATAGTCGCAACTATTTATATCGTAAACGAGTCACATATTTGATTTGATAGTATTGTTGACTACTACTGACGAAATAGCTAAACCCCCTTCCTCTTTCGTAGTATGTATGTACTTGGCGCGACAGCTCGTGAACGGGCTCAAGCCTACCGACGACGTTCCTGTACGTGTGGTTAGCAAGAAGACATCTCATCTTTTCAACCTCAGAAGTGAATTATTTCTTCGTCACACCCGAATGTCACAGCAATGTACACTAGGCCATTGCAAGGAAAACGCACACTGTAATCTTGGCTCGACCGAGAATCGAACCCGGGGCGACGTAGTGGAAATCAAGCACGCTGGACAAGAGCTAGCCACCAGCTCTCGTCTTTTTTTCTTTTTTTAAATTAATTTATTTATGGTCGCATCAACTATTAGGCCATTAGCGACTACTATTGCTTGTAACGGTATGGTAACTGCGAGGATGACATGATATGATGATGATGATAGGAGTGTGAGAGGACGAACACAATACAACCATTGCTGAGGCGGGACTCGGACTCACGATCCTTCGGTCCGAGATCGAACGGCACTACTGCCTTAGCGATCTCGGCCATCCGAGCCGGCTTCTTTTGTCTTGCAGAACGGAA